ATGTTTTGCCTTTCCTCATTTGTTTGACAGTTTAATTTTCTTCACTTAGTTTGTCATTGGAAATATGATTGCAATTATGGTCTGAAACTTTAAGCTACCTCTTCTCCAGACACCCTTCCATTGGTGCTGTTTTTCACAACCATGTGCAACACAGATATGCATTCTACTTTAAAACCAACTAATTTGAGATTCAAAATCTTTTGCAGCCTGGCCAATTTACAATTCAGCAAAAGTCTTGGGTAAACCACATTCTTGAAATGAGTGAGATTAAAGGGACAGAGAAATCAAAAGTGGTCTGTAGGGTTGCCTATTCCTCAAATCATAATTTTTGATCTGTAGTAATACTTTTAAAACTGTATTAACCACACCCAGAATTGTGAAATTGCTTTTAACAAAACTAGAAGTGTGGGAGGGTAGGTTTACAAGCTTAGGCAGATGTACAAGTATGGGTCCACGAATCAACACAGTTGTGTGGTTGGCTGCAGAAACCTGAGATAGTAGGGATGTTCATGTTGATATGTAAGGGCTATCAGTTATCACGCAACTACTGTAGAATAGTAGCTTCTCGTAATAGTCCTAAATTCAGAATTAGTCAAACAGAATCTTACACCACTATACTGTGGTCGTGAATCGAAATCCAGCTTATTCAAAAGTATCATGTTGTATATGATTCCAGGTCTCCTCACCATACTTCAGAAGAGTTCCTTTTCTAAAAAATGTCCCCATGTGGTTTTTTTTAAAAAAATATTTATTCAAATAGACATACATTTGCAAGTGTTTATTGTGTACAATGCAATATTTTCCAGCTATTAGTGTTCCATAATCATTTCTCAGATAATATATTTTAAGGGGTTACAGTCTTTTATTTAAATAGTACATATAAAGGTATCATCGACTCTTACTTAAGATCGGCTTCCTCCTTATCTACAGCCTTATAGGAGCCTCTATTTACATTTTTAGTTGAATTTTACATTGAGATGTTGAATCATTGGTTGCCATTCAGTAACAAAGTTGTCTAATAATTATCCTCTTAATAATGCAGTTATTTTATACATTATCAGCAAATCTGTGACATATTTTCCTATTCTTCTAAAGGATTGGTATTTCTGGGATTTCCCAATATATGGCATATACTATTCGAGCTGCCACTGTCAAGTAAAACATTTTTTCCAAATTTCCTTTCTAATTCTTCATGAGGCATATTCAAAAGATACATTTGTGATATCATTTTGAAATCTGTGTTTAACGTTTTTTCGAGGTATACATGAATCTGGTGGACTTGCAGCAAAGTAAACAACTACCGGAAACAGTGGTTTTAAATTATTTCATTTCAACTTATGGCAAATCCATATACTGATCTGTGGATGAAGCAGAAAAAAACCTTACCTGCTTTCTCAAAAAAAAAAAAATTCAAAACAAAAAAAATGCCACCTTTTTCCTTCAGAAAAATAATAGTCTCCTTTTGTACATGATGGTTAGATGTTCTTGAAAGAAAAAGGCATTTGATGACTGGCTTGTTATAATTAATGCCAGTCTTCAAATACAGAAACTTTACTCAACTTTGTTAATGTAAGGGAGCCAGAGAATATGTTCTGTTTATTATTTACATCTCAAAGAACATCCACTAATGCCGAAATGGTTCCAGATGGCTTGCTTGAACAAAAATGAAATGTCTAGTGTAAAGCCCCACGCATTGCATTTGAGTACAAGACTGACGCAGAAGTGATAAAGAATGGCTTGTATTCTGGTTTTAAAATTAACTCAAGTAATTTCCAGTACCTACTTACTTTGGACAAGCAAATTTCATACATACAACATCAACTGCCCTTGTAAAAACCTTGAATTAAGATCGGGAAAGTTGAGCGTCTCATTTATTTAAATTCTTCTTTTAAGAAGTTTTTTCTTTTCTCTCCCTTCATTTTGCCTTCTAAACTTTCCGGTTGGTTTGAATTACATGAATACAAGATCAAAAATATAGAAATAATGAAAGCAATACAAAACAGAGGATATTTTGAAGGTAGATAGCGAAAGGTAGTGCTTTATTTTTAAAACAACTGTCTATTTTCTGTCCATGTGTGAACTTAGTCTAGTGGTTCAACTTCAGAGGATACAGACAGAAAGGGACAACGTCTGGGTATTCAGTGCTTGGACTTCCAGATGGTTTGGACTTCAAGTCACAGAAACTCTTTTGGTCTAAAAAAACAATCTATCGTTTTCATGCTATATGAGATAGGATAAGGGTGTTTCATATCAATACATGTGTTAATCTGTTTATCGGTATTAGAATGTCTGAATTACCATCCAATATGGGTGTGGGGACCTTGTTAAGATAATGAACAGTGTTCGAACCTTTTGCATTTACTTTCTTCCACCTCCTCTCTCACCCACGTGCTAATAACTGGCAACTGAGCAACACTCCAAGGATCTGATGAAGTAGGCTGGAGTCCACAAAAACTTGTGCCAAACAAATCTGTTAATATTTAACTTTTTTTCTGCAACAGACTAACACCAACTATTTCCCCCTCTTTACAAGGTGATTAATGTTCAATTATTTTTTGCAGAAGTGCTAATCAAAAGGTAGCGAGTAAGGCAAATTGCAGGGTTTTTTTTTTTACAACTGCTCATCTACCACTGATTAGTCCTCTAAAATTCAGTAGCACCAAAGGTGGGTGTGTATGAACTAGGCAAGGAATTACATGTGACTGCTGGGTTAATTGTTGTCCATCTATGTCTTAGCTTTTTCCATACAGTTTTTAAAGATGTTTTCCTTAGAAGAGAATTATAATTGTCGAAGTATTTTTTTTCCAACTGCCTCCCTAGCAATGCAGATGTGTGGATTGCTGGACCATTCATCCCTTTATTGGTTTCATCATACAATGTGGTTTACACCTAAGTGTGCTGATGCACATTACAGGGTTTATTTCAGAATATTCCTCAATATTAACTTTAATTCATGATCCTGCATGCATTCACACTATGCTTCATCTAAACATGCTTCTGAGCTGCTCGAATCCACATTAAATGGTCTGTGCAAGTGTACCCTGAGTCCCTCTTGGCTTACAACTCTCCAGGGTGTTCTTCCAACTCAGCCAGAAAAGAACTGCCTCTGCTCAACTGTTGAACAAATCCTTGTTCACATCCCTTACTTTCCCTACAACATGAGTCTAGAAGAGACTCTTGAAGCCCTTCTGCTATCTCGCAGCTTTTACCTTCTGGTTCTTCCCTTCTCAGCTAGTCATTAATCTTCATTTTGCCTCCTAGGCCATAAAGCTTGGAACAGGAAAGGCAGCGCCTCTAGTGAGTCCTACTTTTCAAACATCACTAAAAACAACTCCAGGGGTCAACTCAGAACAAAATAATTTAAATAACGAGTCTTTGCATCCTTCCTAGAAGTAACAAGAGCAACAAATATCATTTTATCTATCTGGGTTATATCAATGGGGCAAGATAACAGAAGGTTACAGTATTTGTTTCTGTAATTGTCAGGGGTTTCTCTAAATATTCAAGCTAAGATTTTCTTCTCATGCGGATTTTCAGTAGGACATACGGACAGATGATTCAATTGCCTCTCATAGTGGAAGATACACTGTTCTCAAAATCTATGTCTAGTCCCAGTGGTTTATTTCCCAAAAAGCAAGATTTAAAGCAGTCTTGGTAATCCTGCTGTTGATGACAATCAGAGAATTAAAAAGAGGTTGGGAAAGAAATGGAAAGAACTGTGGAATCCTCAGACTGAAAGAACTTCTATGATGGGTTTGGGATGGAGGAAGCAATCTCATACCACCTAGTTGTATGTTGGTGTTTGAATCACTGCTAGACCCATATTGATTACAAACAGACTCAGCCTTTTCTTTGTACATCTCAAAGCAAGAGCAATGAAGTACCAAGCACTCGACTTTGGCTGAGTGCATTTCTGCTGAATTGAGGTATAACAACAGTTTCTGTTTCTGAGCCATAACCTAGCACAAAAAACAATCACGCATACACAGAGTGAGAATTTTGCAAGGGATGAGAAAAATTGCTGATGTTACTGCCATCACGTTGACTTTGATTTATGATGACCCCATGAACAAGAGATCTCCAAGTCACCCTATCACCAATATTTCTTCTCAGATCTTGCAGATTCAAAGCTATGGCTTCCTCGATTAAACCAGCCTGTCTTAAGCCAGGTGTGGGCTTCATCTTTTCCTATTGCCTTCTACCTTTCCGAGTATTCTTTTCTTTTCTAGTGAGACATGTCTTCTCATCATACAGTTTTAACAGTCTCAATTTTAGCTATCTTGGCTTCTAAGGAGAGTTTAGGCTGCATTTGTTCTAGAATCCACTTATTTCTCTTTTTGGCAGCCCATGATAGCCATAGAATCTCTTCTCCAGCACCAGATTTCAGACATTAGGAGGGGCATTTGTCATCCTCGGAAGTATTTGTTATCAGAATTCCTTTGGGTTGCATGGTTTTAATTGATTGGTTTTAAAATTGTAATGTTTTAATTTTTGTTTTATCCTATATATGTATATGTGGCATCAAATTGTGCCTTTTTTGTGAGCTGCCCTGGGTCCCCTTCAGGGTGAGAAAGATGGGATATAAATGCAATAAATTAAATTAATTTAATTAACTATTGAATTTCACTGGCTTTTTGTGAGCTTCGAAGTCAAGTGTAGATAAAAGCTCTATGATTTATAGAGGAAAAAAAAGATCACAGAGCAGGCAATAAGGTCTTGTCCTTGTGGAATTAAACGTATAAGTTGCTGTTGAGGAGTAAAGTCTGAGTTCAAAGAAGGTGGAAAATAACTAAGAGAACAATAAGACCTGAAAGTACCCAGGGCATATTAGACTGTGAACTGAGAATTAGGGAAATAGAAAACATGGAGAGCAAAAATAATGTCCACTGTTGGGATAGAATATGTAAAAACAAGAAGCATGCACTGCTTTGACCATAGCAAGGCTCTCCTAGAGTGGTTTGTGTTTTATCAGGTTTCACCTAATTTTCTCCCATTTCTAGATATTGATGAATGTGCAGTGAAGAACGGAGGCTGCCAGCACACCTGCATGAACACCTTAGATTCCTATCACTGTGAATGTGATGCAGCTCATAGACTTCATGCTGATGGACGCACCTGCATAGGTGAGCATGAGTCACACAACCTGTGCTATATTTTTGAAAAAGAAAAGAGAGCTGTCAGGAGAAAATGAGGATGAGAGGAAGGAAGGAAATGCACTTTTAATTTTTTTTGAAGGGTTGGGTTATGGCAAGCAGATTTTCCCCCAAACAAGATTGTATAATACTATGTTGTCAAGTTGTCTGGAAGGTTGTCAACTTTCCCCCTGACTTTTAAAATCATTCTGAAAGCAGCTCCAGTACAAACTCCTCTGCTTTTGCACTTCATGACATGGTGCTTATAACTCTTAGGGTGATGTCAAATCAAAGTTGCTTCAATGCGAAACTATATTTGAAGGATATTGGCTGCTTGCATTCTGAAGGAATGTCACATTAATTATAGACTTGCGCAATTTATTCTGCTTGTATAGTTCACTGCAGCCTCTTCTGTCCTTTCCAACAAGAGCGAATTGGTCAACCAAAATAACACCTACTGGATACAAATAATGGTGCCTCTTAAATGGGACATTAGGGTTCTGTTAAGTAAGATCAAATATTTATTTTATTTCAGTTTTAATTTTAAAATGTATAATCTGCCTTTCTGCATGCTAGAGGCTTCAAGGCAGGTCAGCACCATTATATTAAAAACATAAATATTCAAGACTCCAAACCCATATAACACTAAAATAGCCAGAAATAAAACAAAACCCTTTTAAGGGCCAGCAAACTTTTCTGGAGAACAAAACCTGTCTGAATGGCCCTTCTAAAAACCTAAAGGGAGCAAGCCTCACTGACTTCCCTGGAGAGGTGATTCCAAAAAACATTATTCTTTAGGCATAATTCATAAGCAATATGTGAGATACAGGCATGAGAAGTGTAGCTAGAAAGGAGGTTGTGACCCTTGCGTTGGATAAGGACAGTTCTGTGTTTTCGAAAAAAGCATATAATGCCTGCTTTTCCAAAATGATGAATTAAAGTTGCATCTCTTGCACTGATGGCGCAGTGGGTTAAACCGCTGAGCTGCTGAACTTGCTGACTGAAAGGTTGGTGGTTTGAATATGGGGAGCGGGGTGAGTTCCTGATGTTAGGTCCAGTTTCTGCCAACCTAGCAATTGATTGAAAACATGCAAATGTCAGTAGACCAATAGGTACCGCTTCTGTGGGAAGGTAATTGCAATCCACGCAGTCATGCTGGCCACATGACCTTGGAGGTGTCTATGGACAACGCCATCTCTTCAGCTTAGAAATGGAGATGAGCACCACCCCCCAGAATTGGAAACAACTAGACTTAATGTCAGGGAAAATCTTTACCTTTACCTGTTATTTGTACAAGCCTAGGGGCATTGGAGGTGAAATCTATCATAATACATGTTAAACCCAATCTGAGAATCTGCAGTTATGTCCTCTGCTGCTTCTCAAGACATGTGAACTATAGAATGATTTTACATGCCAATTCCCTGCTTCCCTTGTCTGTTTTTTAAAATATTTTGTCTTGTACTGATGTTATGTCTTTTTTGGTTGGCCTAATAAACTGCAAGACAATTTTGGAGTCTTCTAGCTTCCTTACCCTGTCTAGAACCAAATGGTCCTACTAATATTTCTAAACCCTTGGAATATTCACTGCAGGGATGCTGCCAACACAATACTCATATGCATAGTTTTCACTTTTTTAATGTTCTCGCCGTGTTGTTGTTCTAAGCCTTGCCACTCAAACCATGCTATGTTGTGTTGTCATCACATTTTGTGTTTATCTGCCCCTGTTCCATGTTATCACTTGGCAGATGGAGGAAGAGGAACTCAGAAAGTGATGGCACCCCATCATGAAGTGAGTGCTCCTACATAGCCCAAGTGAGAAGTTGATGTAGAACCGTAACTTTCAGCGCAGTCTTCACTCAGAATAGTGCCTTCTTTATTTTAAAGAAAGAGATGGATAAATGATCAAATAGCCAGGTATCCAGATAATATTATAGGTACCTGATAGGATATTCTTCTTTGTTTCCATAAGAATAAATAACTGAGTTTGGTCTTCCTGATCATCAAATAAACTATCTGAAAAATTTAAAAAAGAACAACTCACAAAACAGATTAAAAGAATCATAATAACAGAATATAAAAGGCATTGCTAGACTTACTTGCCCTCAGAAAGGATGAAGGATGGTGTTTTATTTTTTTGCAATAATGTTTTAAAATATTTGTGTCAGTCTGCAACAGCAGAAAAAGGGAGGAGAGAATTAGCTACATCTTTAAGACACTAAGGCCCCTTCCACACAGCTGTATAAAATTCACATTGAACTGGATTATATAGTAGTGTGGACTCGGATAATCCAGTTCAAAGCAGATATTGTGGATTATCTGCCCTGATATATGGCAGATAATCCACAATATATCATATAACTGTCCACAATATATCATATAACTGCCCTGATATATGGCAGTTATATGACTGTGTGGAAGAGCCCAAATTATACACCAAAATATACAGTATACACAGCAGTTGAAACCACTTAACTGCTGTGGCTCAATGCTATAGAATCATGGGAATTGTTCATAGTTTGGTAAGACACCAGCAGACTTTGGCAGAGAAAGTCTTAAAACCTTGTCGACTACAACTACTATGATTCTGTATCATTGTGTTATGGCAGTTAAAGTGCATTAATTCTAGAGTGTAGATACATCCTAAGGGATGTATTATATTTTAGCACTTGCATGTATGGTTATCAATATTGGTAGGTTACATACCTGTGACCATCTTTCTTCGAGTGGTGCTCTGCGAATTCACACTTGTGGAGAGACTGCGCCTGCGCGGGCTCCAACGGAAACTTCTACATTTTAAAACTTTTCAAGTTTTGGCGGTAACCCCGCCCAGCCCCGGCAGGGGATAAAAGGGCGCCCCGCGCACACCGACCCAATTCCTACGCCGCTACGGTAGCGAGAAATTGGAGGTTTGACTTAGGGGAGGCTGGGCGGGTTAGTGTGAATTCGCAGAGCACCACTCGAAGAAAGATGGTCACAGGTATGTAACCTACCATTTTTCTTCGTGGTCTCTGCGAATGCACACTTGTGGAGACTAGCAAGCTCAGGTCCCGGAGGCGGGAAGAAGGCAAACCGACCAATAAAGCCAAGGGCCAAACAATTTTATTAAGTGCAAACAGTTACCAAACAAGAGATTGCAATCACTTCCGAAGAAGGGCACAGTGCATAAACTTATGGGAGTACGTGTTCCTCCCGGCCACGTGAGGGTGGCCAATTCACAGTGAAAGACACTCGACGATCGAGGGCATTCTTGAACAATCATATAAACTTTGACCCTTAGAAACAAACAACATAGTGATTGTCGAAAACACTCATCGCAATGAGGGCACTTTAAGTAGTTATACAAAAACAGTATTGTTAACGAGTGCAAAAACACATTTGCAAGGCAAAATGGTCGATAGCGAAACAAAGCGCTACCCGTAATGAGCCTAACGAGGCTATAGTGCAAGGTTGCCTGCGCCTTAGGCAGGAAAGACATCAAGTACAACAGGTGCATTTACATTCACCATCATTGGTAAACAGCTCTAATCGAGCAAACACATGGCAATAAAATTCACAACAATGTACGGTACCGAAAAGGTTCACGGTATCGACGCAACCAAATAGTTTTAAAGGGTCCTAGTGCGGACACGACTCCAGAATTGCCCTCCCAAAGGCCATGTCAGGTGTGTACCTGGTATTCAGTCTGTAATGTGACACGAATGTCTGGGGATTTTTCCAAATGGCCGCTTTGCAAATAGCGTCCAGGGGAATTCCCTTAAGGAAGGCTGTCGAAGCCGCCATAGCCCTGGTCGACCGAGCCCGGACGACCGAGGGTGGTTGTTGCCGAGCCAGTTGATAGCAGAGCTCGATGGTCGAGGTGATCCAGTGCGACAAACGTTGCACCGTGATCGGCAGGCCCACCTTATCGAGGGCATATGCAACAAAACAGTCGTTGGGTTCTTCGAGACTGAGCAGTTCTGTCCCTGTAACACAGTAATGCTCTCCGCACGTCGAGCATATGAAGTTTTTTCTCCGTCGGGGTAGAGGGAGATTGACACAACGAGGGAAGGACAACGTCCTCATTAACATGGAAAGGGGATACAACTTTAGGGAGGAATGTCACGTCTGTGCGGAGAACCACCCTGTCCTCATGGACAACAAAGTACGGTTCGTCCACACGCAGTGCCGCGAGTTCCGACGGCCGACGGGCCGAGGTGATAGCAACCAGAAAGGCTACCTTCCACGACAGCAGCCAAAGGTCGATCGATGCCAAAGGTTCAAAGGGCGCTTGAGCGAGCCGAGCCAGCACGAGGTCGAGGTCCCAGCCTGGAGTTGGGGAACGGACTGGGGGGTGCAGGTTGTTGAAACCCCGCAGGAAAGACTTCACGGAGCTATCCTTGAACAAGGAAGCTTCTCCTGTCCGTTGAAGCTGCCAAGAGATGGCCGCTAGGTGAGACTTGAGCGACGATAGCGACAAGCCCCGTTCGGTAAGGTGCAGTAAGAACAAGAGAATTGACGGTACCGAAGGCTGATGATCGTCTAATCCCCTCTCAGAGAGGAAGGCCTGGAAGCGGTTGAGGCACGCCGAGTAGCATTTTTTGGTTGCTGGCTTGTGAGCTGCAGCCAGGATCGGGAGTACCCCTGGACACAGGGACCTCAGAACTGGATCCTCCATGCCGAAAGATGAAGAGAAGCGAGGTCGGGGTGGAGTAGCTGACCGTCTTCCCTGGAGAGCAGATCCTGCCGAAGTGGAAGGCGTCGCATCCGTCCCTCGGACAACTGGAGGAGGACCGAGAACCACGGTTGTCGTGGCCATTCCGGCGCTATTAAGATGCAGTTCGTTTGCGCCGATTGGATCCTCTCGATCACCCTCGGGATGAGCGGGAAGGGTGGGAAGAGGTAGAGCAGATGCCTCGACCAATCTAGAAGGAAAGCGTCTCCGAGACACCCCGGTACCGTGTTCGGAGCAAGTCGAGCACCGAACTGCAGGAGCTGAGCATTTTGCGGCGATG